CCTGCTGAATGCTTTAGCCTGCTCCTTCCTTCCCTTAAAGTAACAGGAGCCCCTGGTTCCATTATAACTATGGTATCATCTTTAATCACATAATCACATATTATTTTTCTCCAAAAGCCATGTCTCATGGCACAGGTAGGATATTGTTCTAGGAAGGAACTGGGGCAGATGGTAAAAGAGGCCACTGTCTGTAGGACATCTACATCATTTGTTGTACAAGCTGGAAGGTGTCTAGTAAATGAAGCAGGAAATTGCAGGAAGGGAAAGGACCATCTCATGGTTAAGGCAGCTGAATTCCACCATGGATAATTAGATTTTGTTCCTTACTATGCTACAGAGATTCTGTGTGAAGTTAACCTTAAGCCAGACTTAAACTAAAGTGTTCACAAGTGGCCACTAATTGTGCACTCATCATTTTCTACATATTCAGTGTGAGACATTTAAAACAGAATTCTAGAATGCAGTGTTCTTATGAGTGTAAATGAAGTCACTTGGATTAATAGTTTGAACACAAACAAACCATATGCTATAAATCCGATAAGCCTATGGAAATTATGAGGCCTTGGAGGATAACACTTAGGCACCCCAAATTAGTGGACAGCTATGGCAGTTTTGATTATGATTTTTCTTTGGCTCAGGTCATCATAAATAAAATGAAATTAAGACTACCTCTTTGGTTCAGTTAGTCTATAAATGAATGCCAGAGAAATACCCATGAAGAAATTAATAATAACTATTTGGTGTAATGTTTGAAAGGTCTATAGTATGCAAGCCTTGAGACAACATGAATATGAAGGGGTGTGTATGGGGGGGGGTGTGTGTGTGTGATATAGATATATATTTAACAACCCACTCTGCTGCCCCTACCTTCTAACTCCCTCAAGTACTCTCAACGTGTACCCATATTTCATTCCCCAGCATTCCAGTGTTCTCACTTCCTCCTTTTTCTCCTTGCTGCCTCAGTGCCAACAGAGAAGAATCTGGTTTCTCAGTTTCTGGTTGGGGAGTCACTGTGGCTCCAAGCAGCCAGGAGAAATTGCAGGTAAAATTCTGCTCAGCTCCTGCGTGCCTCCTTTGTCTTTGGGGCTGGTGAATGCAATCTCGTCAGCACAATCTGATGAGTGAGGCTCAGTCATCTTCAGTAAGGACAGAACATAACGGTGCAAAAAGAAGTGACAATTTTTGCCCGATCTGGCCACAGATGTGGTTTATAGCCATGATCAAACTCAAGTGCACAGCTGCAAGCTGTTTAAAAAATGGCCATTTGGGTAAAAATCTGAACTCTCATTACATGGGAGTTTCAAAACATACCATCTTCTATAATTTGCATCTGCACTGCCTCCCAGCCTATCACTGTTTTCAGGGGGCAGAGGGGGTTCGGTCTGGGGTTTTTTTTAGCCCCCACTGTAGGGTGGGATGGGTGAATTGGAGCCCCCCACCTCGGGGGTAGGGGGAGGAGGAGGAGCTCCAATACACCAACCCACCCTCCAGCACTGCTTGGAGAACCCCTAGAACAGGGATAGGAAACGTTTTTGGCTGGAATGCTGAATAACCCACAATGTCTACCTTGTAAGGTGGCAGAGTGCTACCATGCCAAAAAAACAAAACTGGGGCAAGGGATACATGACGGGGGACACTGTTATTAATATAGTTAATAAACATAAATATTGCTTTTGGAAAATAGCAGCTGGAGGAGAGTGGGGGCTAGGTGGGAAGCGGGGGCTGCCCCGGGGCTCCACAGATTTGGACCATGGTGGATGGGCAGGGGCGCAACCCAGCCCAGCCCTCACAGCTCCATAGGGATGGGCCGCAGCCACCCTGTCCATGAGGGGATGATGCTTGGCCACCAGGCTCTGGGCTCGGCTTCCCTGTGTGCTGAGCACAGTGTGAGTAGGGCAGAGCTGCCCCTGGTGCAGGGGCCTGGCCATGGGAGCCCCCTGGGTCCTGGGAACAGCCACCACAGGTGGTGCTTGGGGCCAAGCCAGCTGGGAGCCTGCAGCACAGTGGCCCTGCCCCAGCCCTGGTCCGTGGAGGGAAGCTGTGGGTGGGCAAGGCCAGGGTCAGCCCACAGTGCCTCCCCCCATGCCTGTTTCTCCCTGCATTGCCCAGACCTGCACCCATGCCCTGTACCCCAGTGCTGACCCTGCCCGGGTGCGCCGGGGCGCCCGGGTGTGACGGGGCATCCGTCTGCCCAAACACCCGTCAGACCCACCCCCTGGGAGCTTCCAGCACAGTGGCCCTGTGCAGCGCCTGCCCAGGCCTCAGACTTGCCCACCTGCAGCTCTCCTCCAGGGGCCAGGCCAGGCCGGGGGGTGCAACCGATGGACAGAGGGTGGGGCTAGCAGAAGGCAGACTGCAACCTTGCTATAGTCTCCTGACTCTGCTCCCAGTGCCTGTCCTGGTGCCGGGACCTGTGGCTGCTCCAGAAAGCCTGGAACAGCAACTTAAAATTTTTTTTTTTTAAACAATTTCCTCGCAGGCCTCCTGGCATGCCAGGGAGAATGTCTCCGTGTGCCACTAATTGGCATGTATGCTGGGGGTTACCTTTTCCTGCCTTAGAATAGGTTGCCTCTGCTCCCTTTCCCCTTCTCATTCTGATGACAGGGACAGCCTGGGAGGAAGCAGGGGCCATTGCTAGGGGAAGCCGGCTGCAGGCTTCCAGCCAGCAGCTAGATTCTCCTCCCTCCTAGAACCAACAATGAACTTCTGTTTGGTTTGGGGGTCATTGTAACTTGGAACACTTCCTGGAAAGCGTTCTCAGTTACAGCAGGGAGCTGCACTTCTGTCTGCACCCCATGGGAATTAAGTTGTCAAAAGTCTGCCCTGAGCATGTGTAAATTGCAGTTTTTCAAAGGCTTTAATTTGGCCAGAATTAGGAAAGTTTTCACAGAAAATGGCAAAAGCGACATCCCTGACAGAGACCTCTTCTCTTTCAAATCTTAAGTTCTTCCTGCAGCTTCTCAACCAAGTGATTTTAAAACTGATTTTAACATTGGTCTAACAATATGTTGTTTCCCTAAGCTTGTTTCCAAGAAGGGTTGAAAGTCAGTGAGGCAGATACCCAGCATAGCAAGTTTTAGCTCATGAAACTTGGACTAAATGATAAGCAGCTGAAAACAGGGTCTATGAGTTGTATCAGACCTATGAGCTCCATCTGTAGAAAGATTATGAATATTAACTGTTTTCTTTTTTTTAAATGTTTCAGATTCTTTGAATACATATTCCTCTATAAAGACGCAGTGCTGTTTCAGATTGAACAAGTTACAAAGCTGTGCTCAAAAATTGCTCTGACTGAGCCATGGGATCCTTATGATATTCCTGCCAATTCAACTTATGAAGATCAGTACTACATTGGAGGACCAGGAGATGAAATTATGGTACAGGAATGGTCTGATAGAAAGCCAGCCAGGAAACGTAAGTGTTTCCTTTTGTTTCAGCATTAAAAAAGTGCATTCCTTTTACTCAGAAACATATACAATTTTCCCCCTTACACCTAGCATTGACTTTCATATTATCACAACATTCGTACAAAGGAAAAATAAATATCTGCATGGCTGGTATATCATGTTACTAGTGCTGTATTTTATTAAGCAAATGTCTTGGATCTAAGGATGGTTAAATATATTCAGTTGAGTCATTTTCATCCTACCATATTTCAGTACAGTCTTTGGGATGAACGCAGAATGATTCATTAGAGAGTTCAATAATATAAGTAGAGGCACACTAAGTAGAGTGTTACAAGGTCAAACAAACTTCAATGTAGCATGCATATATACTCATCTTGAATTTTATCATAAGTTCACTATGTTATTTTTCAGCACCATACACTCTCACCGTGCACTGAATTTTCATTAGGCAGGAAACTCGTAGTTTCCCTCTCTTTTCAATCTTAGTACTGCACTTGGCAGTTGCATGCCTGGCTCACAAAAGGAAATAGGCGGAAGTTTCAAAAGGCACAGGATGTTAGGTTTTGGATGCAGAAACAGTCAGTGGCACACTGGCTTCCATCTCGTCTATGGTTTAGACATGATCTGGACAGCTATAAAAATAGTCCTTAAAGCCTTTGAATTTAAAATTAAATGTTTGATATTATGCAGTTAACACAACACTTGTGGTCATGACCAGCAGATAAATGGATTCGCTTGCACTCAAGTATTTAGCCAAGGGGAATTTTTTTTATGTCTGGAATAAAAAAATGAGAAATAAAACAAACAAAAAGATTGTTACAACTGTAACTAGATTGGATCTTCCAAAGTTATAGAGGAGATGCATAATCAACAATGCCAAGAAAATTGTTATTAAGATCCAGTGTCTTTGGATTATTCACAGTATTTAATATCCAGATAGTATCAATTTTCTATTCTTGAAAATATTTGAATATGTCCTGACATACTTTGTATATTCAGGGTATTTGCATAAGTTTTGTATGGCAAGTTTTAAAGACTGCAGTGTCTTGTTCTTACTTCTGTATCCATCCCTCAGAATTAATTTGGCTTGGAATCGGCAGATTGCAGGTATATTAAAGTTACACTGATTTAAGTGGATTCCCAAAAGTACACTACTAGCATTTTATTTGTCATTCAGTTATTTAAGAGTCTGATTGTACTAGCAAGAGCAGGTTTCAGGAGGAACCTACAGATCATTTTGAAATGTCTGATTTTACATTTTTTTTTGGCATTTTAGGTTTTGGGGAGGGATGCTGAACCACTGATGACCTTATCAGTCTTTTTTGAGATGGCCTGTATGCATTTTATGTCATAACTAGAGCTATTTTCATAATGTGGTTACTGCACAGCACTTGACACAATTTTATAAAGGTAGAAAATAAGTGTGTTTGGCTGTTGTTTGGATAAGAGAAAGTTCATGCTGCAAAAGGGTTAGAAAAAAAAAAAACACTTACAAGCATTTGTAAAATGAGGAGATCCCTGCCTTCAGCATGTTTTATAGTTTTAAACCTATGGGGGCTGGATTCTATTTTTGTAATAAGGAATGATCAAATGCATAATGCTAGGATCTGAATATATTGTAATGGATATGGGTGGCTGGCTAGTGGTTATGTTCAGGTGTCTTCCTTTCCAGCTCTTGGAAATTAATATGTAATGTATACTAAACGCCGTCTTGTCGAGCAGGAAGACAAAAGGGAATCAAAGTTCTGAAATGTCCGCAGGAAGTATGACTGGCTTGTGTAAACTCAAGGTTAAGATAGAGCCTGCAAATGGATTCAGCCACAGAGTAACATACATATTTGACTTCAAGGACTATAACTCAGCTAAAAAACCAAGACAGTCTCATCAGGATTAAAATTCTCTTAATTCTCCATTTTAGTCACGCCTGTGAGTTCAGCTTTTTACAAACTGTTTGATACAGACAGTAATCAATGTTTTATACAATCTTCAAAACTCCAAAAGTGTTTTGCAGGGGAGACATTTTTCAATTACTCCTTTACAGAAAAGATGTCTACTTGCTTTGTTTAGTTATGGCACTTTTGCCTTTCAAAAGTACCTTTCATATCAACTGTAACCATATCCTCTGCACAAATAGGTTCCTTTTTAGATTCCCACCTCTAATTTGGTGAGTTTTCACATTATATGAACAGACAAATTACCTTTGTTTAGAAGGCAATGGGGCTTAAAATAAGGCTAAGTTATTGTGGTTTAATGTTTACTTACTATGGGGTAAGAGTGGGCACACAGACAGTTGCCACATATCAGCTACTTCGTAGTTAGCTTCTGCCTCTTTTTAACTTACTGCAGTTTATTTGTTTGTTCATAAAATTGTTAATATCATTAAGACTATTGACAAATGTAAAGTTAGGCATGTGAAAAAAGCACCTTGTGGAACTGGAACAGGCTTAAAAATGGAGGGGTAGGGGGAGAAAAAATAGGCAGGCAAGAGATGAAAGATACTCTGAGGTGTCATCTGCAACAGTAGGTCAGTGTAACCTACTCTAGATGGCAGAATATATGAAGCTGCATATATAGAAATACTGGCATCAACGATGACAACAGTAGGTGAATGGACCTCCAGTGGTTAGAGGACCTGAGAGAAATAAAAGAAGTCCCTGAGTTAACTTGGAGTAAAACTATAACTTAAAAAAAACCCACAGATGGAAGTTTCCACCTCAAGAGACAAATTAGTGGTGGAGGTTTATATCTTGCCATGGAGCAAAGGTCGAAATAGGATCCTTTTGAACAGGATCTTGAACTGAACAGGGTCCCAGTGGAAATGCCAGGGAGATGGGAGCTGCAGTAATGAAGGTACAGGTGAAGATTTCCATAAGGGTGCAGGCAAAGTGAAGGCTCTTACGGACAATGCTGTAAAGGTGATGATAGGCAGATTTGCAAACAGAGGGGTGGTGGGAGAGGTAAAATTTAGGGATTAGGATGATGCCGAATATTTACACAGACCAAGAAGCATACAGGAGGAATTAGTTAAGAAGAGAGATAGAGGAGTTGAAGTTTGTGTTTTGGAAAGTTCTTTCTATTTCCAAGACAAACACGTCTGTGTTGGAGAGAGTTAGCTGGAAGAAGATGAGAAGAAGGCCATGTTTGTTTGAATTAAAGATGTGGTAAGATATGGACAGCTGAATATCATCAGTATAAAAGTCATAGTTTGGAGTTAAGATGTTTGGAAAACAGGAGGGTAAAAGATATTGGGTTACAGAAGAAGAGTTCTGGTTTGAGGGAAAAATTTTCACCAATGGTTTGACAGACAAAAGAAGAAACATTGATAGGAAGGGTTAAAAGTTACAGTTAGTTCCCAGAGCATGGTAACAGACAAAAGCCTTTAGTCTTAGAAAAGGGGATTATGTCTGAGATTGCATTAACTACAGGTTTATGACAATGGTTTCCAAATTACAGGCAGAGTAAAAACTCTAAAATATAGTCGTACTTCATAACCTGTTAAGCTCCAGGTCCAGATGGGTGGCAAAATGCATAACTTTTACCCTGACTGAGTTTTCTTTTTTCATGCAGAAAACTCAACATATTGTGTTATTTATTCCTTTAGTGTAAATAATTCTGTTGGACACTTGAATTTTACGGGGATTTTTTCCATGACAAATATATTTTTTTAAATAAAACTGAGGATGCCAAATGTGTTTGGAATATAGGTAAAATTTTGGGATCAAAATCAGGGATGGCAGTCAAAAACACGTGTATGTGGAAGATATGGGAGTGTTATTTGGAAAAACACGAAAAATCTACTTGTCTGATTACTAGCATGAACAATGGCTAGTAAACTTACAGGACTTCATTTATTAGAATAAAGGAAGTAAAATGGGGAAAATTAAAATGTTTCAAAAGACAGGACAGTCAGTGAGAGATTTGGGGAAGGGATTGTGGGTATCAGAGTCAGGTAAATAGAAGAAGCAAAGAAAATACTGACATCACAAGGAAACAAGGGTCAAGAAGGAAAAGGGGTCAGTGAAAACAGCATTTTGCTTAAAGCTTGTTATGAGAATGGCACAGTGAGACAGGAGAGATGAGCAGAGGAAGGTAAGTTAATGAGAGAGAGTAAAAATGAATAAGGAGGAAACAATGGCCAGGAATTATGCTAATATTAGACTGAAAGATGGCAATCTGAATAAAATGTCCTTATAATCAGGGATTAAATGGCTGTCAGCTGAACCTAAAGCAAAACTGACCTGTGCTGTTAGAATAGTAGAAACTGGGCTGTTCAGAAGTTGCTTACAATGTGTATTCTGTACACAGAGATTTTAAAAGCTGCTCCACCAGTTCCGTGTATGCGTACTTGAATATTTTGTCATGAAGCAGCAGGAAAAACACTTGTCTTCCACTTCTGCATTAAGGTTGAGATTTTTACAGATTAAGGCCCTCTGCTGCTTTGGGCTCTTTTGAAAGTCCAAGCCTAGAAGATTTTACATAGTTGAGGAAAATCTATGAACATTCACTTAAAACTTTAAGAAAAACAACAAAAATAACAATAACTCATTTGTGTTTGTTCTATAAAATAGATAACCTTTGTGCTTCGTTTCAGTTGAATCCTGGGTTGGAGTTTACACAATTAAGGACTGTTACCCAGTACAGGAAACCTATACCAGGAACTACAGTGTGACAACTTCCACCCGTTTTTTTGATCTACAGCTGGGTATTAGTGACCCCTCTGTGTTTACCCCACCCAGCACCTGCCAAGAAGCACTGCCAAGACGGATGAAAGATGAGTGCTGATTATGGATGTTGGCTGCCACAGCGAACAAATAATAATGAAGGGGATGACAATTAATAATCAACTGTTGACATCCAACCTGATTTTCAAGCTCATTGTTGCTCTTTTGGGAATCGTAACATTTTTGTTTGCACGGGAACATACCATTTAATTGAGTAATATGTATAACAAAAAAGATCTCTTTTTCAGTTGTTCCCTATGTTAGACTCTGTTCAGCGATGCACTTGCTGTTGTAGAGTTTCCACTAAAGTTATGTTTATAGATCCTGTTTATTTTAATTGTGACTAATTTTTTAAAGATTTTATTATTTAATTTTCCAGGATGACAACACAAAAGTATGTTGTGCTCTTAACATGAAAAAGGAAAGGCAGAACATTTTTGTTACTTATGAAGAGACTGATATGCAGTGAGGTTAGCAAAAAGTATTGTGTGCTGAACTGTAAACACAAGATGGCACTTAAGCAGAATGTGTCAGAGAGATTAAATATGATCTCTTGGCTTCTGGGTTTCATTTTTTTGGGGTTTTCTTCTTTTTTATTGTTCAGAAAGGTAATAGTCAAGTCTTTGGTTTGTTTAATGTTTTCCTAAGAAACCAGAGTAACTGTTCATATAGCACTAATATAACATTTGTAGAGAGTAAAATATAAAATTAAACCAAAGTTTTCTTGTATTTCCTAGTCCCAGAGAGTCTAATTAGACAACTTTTTGGTTATTTACATTGCTAATAGATGCTTTGTCAAGGCATTATTACTTTTAACCTATGCAAAGAGATTATAGTGCACTCTAAATTGCTTTCATAATCCGTAACTCCTATTTTCAGAAGTCTTCCCTTTTCAAGGAGTATGAAAGGCTTTATAATTTCAGGTAGAAGTAAAAGCACCTGTTCCTGTCACCTGACTAGGCAAAATTAGATTTATATATGTACAGCACCTCATGTTTCATTCAAGAGAAAGACCTGTGTGTGTGACAGATTGGCGGGGGGAGGGGGGAGGAAGAGGTATTTGAAATGCCTTCTGCATGGTATGGTTACAGTGCTAGGATCTAAGCATAATGACAATCTTGCTTCTGTTTGCACCTACCCCTTTGATCACTGAGCATGTTTGGTGTTAGATCAGCTTTCCAAGGCATTATCCTTTACAGCTTTTTGCTGGTGGGAGGAAGGAGACCCTAGTTTAACTTTAAATAAATAAATAATTACATAAATAACATCCAAAAAGACCCAAGAATTGCACTTTTATAGCCATAAAAAAGAAAAAAGAAAATCTGCACAGGACATTTAAAATAATATGAGTTTAATGGCCCCACTCTTTATGCTTCTACATGTGTTATAAATATATCTATATTCCACAAGTTTAAGATTTTATTTTTAATCAATAATATATTTATAGATATATTTTGATTTCCTTGCTAGCATTGGGTTTTACCTCACTCTGCAAGTTGTCCTGCAATGTAAGGGTTAGTTGCATTTAGTGTGAGTTGGGATGTCAAGTTATGGAGCTGGTGTTAGGTGTTTAGTACTTTCACATTGTCCTAGGTATCCTTTCCTAGGACAATTTTCTTAAAGACAAGAATAATGTGCACAGTGAAAGAGGGACTCTTGTTAATACAATGTATAATTTCTTAACCAGATGCACCATACCTTATTAGTTTCTCAAACCTTAGTAGATTTTATCACTTAGAGGGGTAGCCCAATAGATGTGGTCTGAAACACTGCTTAGTGTACTGAGAGAAATATTACTTAGTGTAATGCCTGTTGCACATACCCGTGTGAAAAAGCTAAAATATAATGTTAATTATAACACTTTCCCAAATATAAAATTTTTATTAGAAAAAGAATAGGTTTAGCTATGAATTTAGTATGCATTCAGTCTGTGTGATCCTTCTGTATTTTTGTGACACCCTAAATCTGAACTGTTTACTGTTTTCATTAGGGCAATGATTAACCTGCATTCCTTAACATATGTTTCTTTGAAATCTGGGGAATGTAACAAACCTGGCTAGCAAACACGGAACTGTGATACTGTGTCATTTAGGATGATTTTGTTGTGGTATAACAAATAGCTGTGTAATCTGCGAATATGCATTATTTTCTGTTGACTATTATATAATCTCTAACAATGATGCTGGTGTTCCTTGAAATATGCATTTGCAGAACTCTACAACAAAAAATGCTTTTAAAAATATGCTGCAGTGATATCCAGGGTAATTTTAGATGGCAGGATGGGTACCCTTTAAAACAATGCCATTGTCTTTGTATATCTGAATGCTGCTCTACAGAGTCAATAAAAAGAATTGTCAGAGAAAAAAACAAAGAAAAACACTGTGGGTTATTTTCTCTGTTTTAAATTAGCCACTTACTGACCACAAGAATTTGCCTAGTTGATTAACATTTACTGTAGCAGAGGCATTTGGACTGGACTTTTTTTGACACTACAGCCTCTTTACATCGTTGTAGAAGTGTTAGGTGCTTAAGTGATGGAGAGGAAACAATGTAAATGATAATCTACTTCTTTGTTCGTAACAGCTCCCTTGGATAGAAGAAAGTAATTGCAGCCCTGCATCTGTCACACCATAGAATATTCACAAATAGTGGCAGAACCTCTTGAGTTGGACAAAGCTTTTTTGTGAGATTTCCAGTACTTCCTGGTTTCAACTGGGCCAGAAATAGTGCAAACAGAGACTTTCTTGCCATATTTTTTGTATTTCTGCTTCAAGGCTTAGCTAAAAGCAGGATGTGTAGAAACACAACATTGTTTTATTTAGAGTTAACCAAACATTCCTGAACCTAAAAACTGAACAAAGTTTTAGTTTGAGTTTGGGGTGGAGATTTGAACATTTGGTTAGTTCTTTTTTTAAACTGTTTGCTTTGCTTTAGTATTATCCTGTGGCCAAATTCTTCCATTCTTAGTCATATTTCACATAGTGTAAGTGGTCCCAGTTACAAGAGGGCTCCAAGTAGGAGATTCATGAAGGTAGGCACTACTTAGTGGGCACATCTACACAAAATGCTTTTCTGCACATTAGACTAATCTAATGTGCAGTAGTGTCAGTGTCTACACGTGTGGGACTTACTGAGCAGTAAATGAGGCTAATGCACTGTTTGCTAATACCAGCAATACAGGTACTAGAATAACGGTGCATTAGCTTCTGCACAGTAGCGCATGTGTAGATGCTGACCAGGAGCAATTTGCTCTGGTCAGCCTAGGTAGCAGGGGCCACAAAGGGTGGAGGGGAGTTGTCCACGGTGCTGGTGCAGAACTCAGGATTACAGCCTGGCTTGGCTGCATTGGCTTGGGGTGATGTCCTGTGGCCAAGCAGCTGCAGTGCCCCTCACTCTCCCCTCACTCTCCACATCCCTCTGCTCCTGGCCCCTCCCAGGCAGCTCCCATTCCCCATCCATGCCTGGGGGAGGTCAGGAGCTGAGCAGTGCTGGGATGGGTGTGGGGAACCATGGAGAGGTAAGCAGCACCAGGACTGGGGGGGGAGACGCAGGGGGGTAAGTAGCACCGAGACTGGCGGGAACTGTATCTCTCCCCAGTCCTCGTGCTGCTCATCCCCGCTGCATCTCCCCCCTGATCCCAGTGCTTCTCAGCTTCTAGCCCCCCCCAGGCACAGGTGGTGAGTGGGACCCAACTGGGGTCTGTGCTGCACAGCCTGCAGCAGGACTGAGGGGACAGGGAAGTTCTCTGTCCCTGACCCAGTGCTGTGGGGACAGAGAGCTCCACCATTCTGGTGCTACTCAGTCCCAGCCAGAAGCTGAGCAGCACTGGGATCAGGGACAGAGTTTCCCTGTCCCCTCAAGCAAAGTGAGGGGAGAGCTCAGGGCACTGGTGCTACTCAGCCATGGGGCATCACCCAAAGCCAGTGCCACTGAGCCAGGCTGCAATCCCAAACTCCATGTGGCTGGGGACAGGGACAGCTCCCCACCTCCCCCCACCACCACTCCCTGGAGTCCAGGCCTGATCCCCATGCCCCCTGCCAGCCTGGGTCTGGCATGGGGTTGGGGGGGAGCTGGAGCTCCCCCTGACTGCTGCAGGGGGGCAGAGCAGGGCAAGGGGACAAATCAAAATGATAGTTACCTTGTCAAGTAGAGGAGAACATACGTTCTCACACCATGAATTCTCAGTCACAGTGGTCCAGGCCCACCAAGCTATTAAGAATGCTAACTCCTACTGAGGTACCTAAATTGGACAGCTAACTCCTATTTACATCTACCTAATATATTCAAATCATCCAGGAGAACTCTGCCCAGATTTGTTTTCTTGAGAGAAAAGCTTACTTGGGTAGACCTGTACAGAAGTTCAAGCAGAGAAGCAAAGAGCCTGCAGTGCTAACATTGAGCTGACAAGGGCCCCTAGGACACACATCCCATTGAGCTCTGCGAGTTCCTTTATTTACCTGGAGGCAACTGACATAAGCAAGACCACAGGTCATCAGTGATCGCCTTGCTGTCTCTGGAGATCCACTCCCCTTAGGAACTCGAACTCAACCGCTCCGCCCCCCTCCAGTGAGGTTTTGACAGAGGAGATTTTGAACTTGTCTCCTCTTTTGGTGCTGTCACCTGAGATGGGGTCTGCCAGGTCAGGGAAGGGTGGCAGGGGGTTGCCACATTAGGGAAGGGAATAGGGGGATTCCTGTGCACAGAGCTTTCCACCTTTAACTCCCTACATTGGGATCCAGCCCAGCTGCAGCTAGGCAGGGACCTCTGCTTCCCAGCACCTAAGTGCTGCAGTCCAGGCTGGGCAGGCTGGGCTTATCCAAGTATGGGGGTAGGGATGGATTTGCTGCTTCTGGACTGTCCTGAGTGGACTCCGAGCCACTGAAAAAGCCAGGAGCAGATTATCACCCTTAAGTGCTTCAGTGCTGGGCTTTTCCAGCCCAAAGCCCTCAGGCGGCATGTTTTGCTCCCTGCTTGGCCCTGTGGGAGGAGAAGAGGGAGGAAAACTCACTTAGATTGCAGAGAACAGCTCTGCAGCTTCTTTTGGACCTCTGCCTGCACAGATGTTCAGTCTTATGAGCAGTACTCTCCTGGCATTCACATCACAAGGGTTGTTCCCAAGTTGTTTTCACCCGCAGTGGCCATTTTTACATTAAGAGAAAAGTTATGAATGTCTGTATACTTCTGGCTTGTCCTGTGGCAGGGACTGTCCTTGGAGAAACTGAATATCTGTACATTGTCTAAGTCTCATAAAATTCAATGGGACTTAAGCACCGAAACACATTTGTGGAACTGGGCCTAAATGCTTGGATTTAGTCTTAGAGACATAGACCAATCTCAAGCATAGCAGCAGTGCCAATTTCATTCAACCATAGCAAAATAAAGTTTTGAACAAACTACCTAAACCAGTAGCTCAGGGTGACCAATAGCTGTATAAAGCATTAGCTCAAGTAGAATTGTAGGCATTTAAAACCCCCTGAAAAAAAAGACCTGTGAGGCGCCTAAATGGCCTTTGATATGGAACCCCCAACGGAGAAGCTTCCAAACTCACCTTCTAGTTTGTTTTATTTATTTAGATTATAAATTGCAGGAGGCCAGGAACTGTCTCTTCCTATTGGCTTGTATGGTACAGTGGCAACTCATCTTACTGAAGCTAGCTGCTATTGGAGTACGAACAACACTAGACACAGATCTCAAGATCTTTCCCTCAACACACACACCAACATAAATTATACAAACGTTTATATAGACTTAGCTTTGCACTCATAGGTCACATCCAGACAAGCTCCAAGCTTCAGGAGTGCCATGGCTGCTGCTTTCCAGGACCCCAGGTAAAACTGCTGGGGCCAGCACAGTGGCTGGCCCCAGCCTTCTCTACCCTAGCGGAGGTAACCTACCATGTGCCAGAGGGCATGCAGCACAGAAATCCCCAGGGACAAGTATAGCAGCACAAGGTGTTCTGCTGCTTCTTGTCCCCTGGGAACCAAACGTCCACGCTCATCTGGATACGGCCTTATGTGCTAGTGGAGTCCATTTGACTGTAATTCACAACCTCAGCAATAGGCAATCAAATGTTAATTGAGCTCACCCCAGGCTTCAGTTAAGCCAGGCAAATATGGCTAAACTAGAGAAAAGAAAAATCTCACTAGGCTCACACTGGGTGGGTTTTTCCCAAGCTCGCCCAGTTCTAACAAACAGTTTTGACATTCTTGAAACGGCATGAGTTCAGTTGTCGGCCTTCCATTACAACCCTGTGTCACATTAAAAGAGAGGTTTGAGTTTCACCCTCTGCTGTAAAATTATCTCTGAGTCAGAAACTCAGTATCATGTTCAGTCAACGATGTCTTCTCTCAGCTGCCACACACACTCCTGTTGGCTCCGTTTTCTGTTCTTGCATTGAGCTCAATTGGGGCATATAGCTACAGTCCTGTGCTGAAGAGTGATCCGGATAGGCACTGCTGCAAGGGGAACAGGAGAGGACATTCCCAGAGCGACAGAATGCTTCAAAGAGTTCCCTGGTTGCACAAAGGGGACAGAGATAATCCAGTTTCCAGTCCATCTCTCTCTCCCCTCTCCCTCTCACACACAGAGTTGCACCTAGTCCCCTCCATCTTCCATTTCAAGGACTCACTTCTAGGGGCAGCTAAACTGGCAGCTGCCCCTTTACTTCCCCAAGATTGGGGAATACAATTCTAGATTGTCTTTATGAGGGATGCACAAGAATGGAAAGGCTTTTCATTTGATTCCTGCCACAACATACTGACTTTCAAGAGGGTCCATCATTTAGCTCAGGGCTAAACTGGTGGCCCATAGGCCACTTGTAGCCCACAAAGTGGACCCAGGTGCCACACTCTCCATCACTCTGGTTGAAGCAGCTGCTGGGATCTCTGGGCTCCTCCTCCTTTCTTTGTGTCTGCTTCCTTCATCTGGGGGAAGAGCAGTGAGGCATAATACATGGTGCTGGGGAGCTGAGGGTGGTAGCCAGGGTGCTAATACAGTGTGGCACAGGGGGCCTTGGACCTATGTGACTTGTGCAGTGTGTGTGGTCCCCAGATATGATCTGTGTGGCATGCAGACCCGGGCTGCTTAGAAGTTGGACAACCCTACTTTATCTCATGGTAGGTTGGAAATTGCAAGCAGTAAGAAACAAAACTACCTAAGCTCCCAAATGCCTGAATTATTGTCCCTTTGGCAATCTGTTGGTTGCCCTGACTTCTGCTGGGACTCATTCCTTTGCTTGGACTCCCTCCTTGGTATCTCCTTGTCCTTCCTGGTTTGTTTTTTTTTAAATAGAAAATTGCTCCCACATTTTTAATGCATGTCGTGTATACATTTTTATCTATAGTTTGTATAGCTATGCCTGGGGGCCAGCCC